GGCCCTTCCCGGGAACACTTTGCTGGACCCTGGTCTTGTCAACAAAGCAGATCACATGAGTCCTGAGTAATGAAGAAGTTGTGGCATGTAACTTACTCTGCGATACGTATCGTATAATAAGGAAGTTCTTTTTTTTTTCGTTAACGTTTATTTATTTTGAGAGAGGGAGAGAGAGAACCCCAAGCAGGCTCCGCGCTGTCATTGTGGAGCCTGATGTGAGTGAGGCTCGAACCCACGAACCGTGAGATCACGACCTGAGCCGCGGTCAGACGCTTCACGGGCTGAGCCACCCAGGCGCCCCAAGAAATCTTAAGCACGCGGAGGGGATGTGTTGCTGACGTATCGGTGACAAACGTCCCCCACTCACGTGAGACACGCACAGCAAGGGGAGGGCGCCCCACGCCGTCTTCGCAACCTCCCTGCAGATCTTCGAGGAAATGGAGAGAACAGTAGAGCACGGCCCAGCCCCTGTCCTCCCACCCTGCTTCCGTCCTGCTGGGGGCTCTCTGCCCCGTGGGGGTGAGGCCCGCCCCAGCCCTGGCCGGCTGCCATCTGCACTCCTGTGTCCAAAACCCCCTACTCGAGTCTCATATCCCACATTGTTACAACCTTTTGGTTGCAAGTGACAGAAACTGCAACCGAAACCAGCTTTTTTCTGTACATGGGAATTTTTTGTTCACGGTACGGAAAGGTCCAGGGATAGACCTAGCACTGGGCTCTCCCCGCCGGCCCCGCTGACATTTGGGGCCAGGTGGTTCCTTGTGTTGAGCAGCCCTCCGGGTCCCCGCCCACCGGACACCAGGAGACCCCTGGCGTGACGGCCACAGATGAGACCAGCTGATCCAGCAGGCACGGCCAGATCCAGCACCTTCCGGGAGTGCCTCAAAGACTGACGCAAGCCTGCACCCTAGGCTCCTTCCCACGCCTCTGGAGAGCAGCTCAAGGCTTGAACGTGAGGGAGAGTATAGCACCTCGAGAGGCACAGTCCAGCCTGTCGCCTTCTTGGTGCAGACCGCGTGGCACTGAAACCTTTATGTTTTGTCTCCCTTCTCTTTTAAGGTTTATTTCTTTCTTTAATGTTATGTATGTATGTATGTATGTATTTTTAGTTTTGAGAGACAGAGGGAGGGCGCGGGAGGGCCAGAGAGCGAGAGGCAGACAGAGAGAGGGAGACACAGAATCGGAAGCCGGCTCCAGGCTCCGAGCCGTCAGCACAGAGCCCGACGCGGGGCTCGAACCCACGAACCCATGAGATGAGGACCTGAGCCAAAGTCGGACGCTCAACCATCTGAGCCACCCAGGCACCCCTCCTTTCTGTGTTTTAAAGTGAGCTCCACGCCCAAAGCGGAGCTTGAACTCACGACCCTGAGATCTAGGGTCACGTGCTCTACCCACTGAGCCAGCCGGGCGCCCCGAGATGTTTGCGTTTACGTGGCTGAAAACATTTCAGAAGAAGGGTTGTTTTGCGACACGCGAAGCCATACGACATCGGTGTCAATAAAGTTTTCTTGGCACAGACACGCGCGGTCGTTTGCGTATTGCCTGAGGCTGTTTTCCTGTCCCCGCCAACAGGGCGGAGCGGTTGTGACAGAGACTGTTGGGCCCGTACAGCTGAACACACTTGACCTCTGGTCCCTCACAGGACAGGTCAGCTGACCCCTGCTCTTATGTCCCTGGACAATGACACAGGTACCTCTCCGAGCCCAGGAGTCTCCCTTGTTGACCGGAGGATGGTGAGAGGGAGGAAGGACCTCAGCCTGGAGGCCAGCCAGCAGTGAACTTTGAGTGTCAGCGTGTGTGTCAACCACGATCATTTCGGTCACCCCTCGGGTAGCCTGGAGGGGGTGCTTCGTCGGCTTCCGGAGGCAGGTGGGAGAAGGCAGGACCGGTCTTCAGCAGGCTGCGGTGGCCGTGTCCCGCACCTTGAATTCGTGGGGTGACGTGTGTGCCCGGGTGGGGGTGCTTAGCCGGGAGCCTCAGGGGAGGAGCTCTTGAGGAGGTGACAGTTCAGCTGCAGCCGGGACCCTCTCTCTCTCAGAAAATGAGCCTTTAGAAAAATTTTTTTAAGTTCCTTAAAAAAAAAAAATTACAAATAAAAAATAATGTGTCGCCCGTCGGAATGGTCCAACGGAACCCCCGAAACGGACAAAACCAAGTGCCGGCGAGGACGCAGGACGCCCAGAACTCTCGAACGTTGCCGTTGGGGGTGCGGCCCTTCTGGAGGACGGTTTGCTCAGAACGGCCGTGGGATCCAGCCATCCCAGCCCTAGGCGTCACCCGAGAGAAATGGAAGTTTCTGTCCCTACGAAAACCTGCACACACGTGTTCACCGCCGCACGACTCACAGTCGCCGAAAACAGAAAACCACCCAAGTGGGCGAAAGAGACGCGGCCCGTCCATACAAGGGCGTTCCAGGAGCGCAGGGACAACACGTCTCTAAGGGTTGCAAGAACGTGAATGGATCGCAAGTGAAGTACGCCTTGCCGTGTGACCCCATTTATGTGACACCCGGAAAAGACCGAGTTACAAGGGGCAAAACTCGATCCTTTCCTGGGAGGGAAGGCAGAGGGAAGCGATGACCCCCACAAAGGCGTGTGAGGGGGGTTCGGGAGGGAAGAAAAGATTTTATTCCTCAAGTACTGTGGTGATTACATGCTTTCGTCAAGATTCATCAAACTGCCCACCTTGCCATTCTCAGGAAGCTTCTGTGTTAGTGTCCTAGGACGGCTGAGACCAATGACTGCTCACTGGGTGACCTAAGCAAGAGAAATTCATCCGCTCCCCATTCTGGAGCCAGGTGTGGGGGGCCGAGCTCCTTCCAGAGGCTCCAGGAGGCCCTTCCCCTTTCCTCCAGCATCTGGGGGCTCCAGGCAGCCGAGAATCCCTCCATCACAGCCTCCATCGATACCTGGTCCTCTCTGTCAAGTGTCCCCTGTGTGTGTCTTATAAGGACAATTGTCATTAGATCTAGGGCCCACTTAAGTAATCCAGGATGATCTCATCTCAAGATCCCTAGCTTGGTGACAACAGTGAGTGAGGTCACATTCACAGGCTCTGGGAAGTTGGATGGGGAAACCTCCTTCAGGGACCACCATTCAACCCAATAAACCCTGCTTAAGTTAAGAACACTTAAGGAGCCACCTTAGGACACTTTCTCCCAAACACTTCAGATGTACATTCTGCCTGGGAATGTTTGAAGCAGAATCCTAGACTCATAGCCTTTCAGCCATAAATGCTTCAGTGTGTATCTCTAAAGCAGATTGTCAACTGGGGACAGTTCTGCTCCAGGGGACCCCAGGCGATGTCTGGCGACACTTGCAGTCAGGACTGGGGGCATCGCTTGAGTGGGGGCTGGGGACGCTGCTCAACCCCTGCAGTGCCCAGGACCCCCAGAGAGGATGACACCAGCCCCCCAGTGTCCACAGTGCCGGGGGAAGGGGGACAGTCGACTGTAGGCGTGTGACGGTGGGCATCCCTGCCCTGTCTGTGACCAGGTGTGTAACAAGGTCCAATAAGGGTGACAATGATGGTCCAGAGTGTCACCGCCCTGAGGGATCATGTGTGGGCTTCCAACCCTGTGGTTTGACACCTCATTCACACACACACACACACACACACACACACACACACAC